CCACCCCCCTTTACAAGACAGCCTGGCTCACAATTTCTTCTTTTCTAATTCATCCAAAATGGTTTCATGGAGTCGTGTGTTGTTCCGCTCTAGTTTCGAGTCAAGAGTCACAATAAGAACACACGCTTATCTGAAAGGATTTTGAAAGCGGATTAAACTGGTTTGAGACAAAATGTCAACTTGTTGAAGTGATGCTAGTCTACTGTTGAGGTGCCCTTGAGCAAGTTCACTCGCATTTGTCAAAGTTCAAGCCCTGGAAATGACAAAATGGCTCCTTAAAACCAAAATGGCTGACTTCCCATTCATTTTCATGGAATGGTCCTCGAGTTGTTCATGCATCCTGCATGGTGGGAAATGAGTGAATTAACTCACCAATTATTTAATAAAAGAACTCTTAACTCATATTTTTTATTTTATTTACAAAAAGACAACCAATTCCTTGATGCAATAAATTAAAATATCTTGAATATATGTTAAAAAAAAAAAAAGACTTAAAAATGTCTGTGAGCACGTGCACGTCTGCCGTGTATACACGTGGGTGGGGTTGTGTGATCTTGTGTGGACTTCGAACCATTGAGTTTTATCTTCCCAAGACATTTTGGACAACTGCATGCTCCCAACTATTAGGAGGAGTTTGGGGAGTTTTCTCCTGCCCAGAGCACGACGCAAGGTCCATAACTGCATGCTGGGATGAATTTGGTGTGGAAGAACTCAAACTCATTCCTTGTGGGACATCAAAGATTGTGAGCCAGGACCCTGGGTAATCCGTCACAAATTAAAAAAAATAAATAAATACATCCCAGAAATGGCTGTTTTGAAGTCAAAATGCATTTAAAAACACATTTAGTGTATGTGCAGAAAAACAAAACTTCGGTTTAGTTCAGTCCAAATGGCTGCCATAGAGTGCGGCATCATCAGTGTGAGAGGAAGACACCAAGTTATCTTGGTGGCATTTCAACCAGGTCTAACAAAAGGGACATTCGTGAGGCTTCTTTACTGATCAACAGCGGTGCACTTCATTTTTGTTTTGGTGCATGACATGAGGAACAGGCTCTCGTTTGGTGTGATCCAAGGGCGACCCAGAAATGAAGCACATACGGATCCATCATTTCGGCAAAACGGGGAGAGGAATGATCCGATTTCTTTGTTGTTTCAAAAATTACACAACAGGCCCCAGTGATGGACGCTGAGAATAACACCAGACATAATGGAAGAAGTTCGACCCGGGTCACGTTGGGTTCCAACCGGCCCTCCCCCCCTCTTGCTCCTCAAGAGTCCAGTCATGGAGCAGCACACAGGAAGTGGACAGGAGAAGACTTTTACCCGGGGTTGTTTTTCTTCCTTTTATTTGGACTAGGATTGGGATCTAGTTTCAGCTCTCGATACTGCACCTGTTAAAACACACAAACGTAAGTACACAAAACACACACACACACACATGCACACGCCACCCGGTCAGGTGGAGCGAGCCAAGGATGCTCGAATAGCACACCAAGCCTACAGAGGCTCTCTAACTCCAGCTGTGTGGAACAGTGGCCTCAAGGAAGGGATTACACACTGATTACAACACACACAAACACACACTCAGCCCTCGGAATATCCATAAACACATGCTTCCACAGATGTGAAACAGTGGCCTAAGGGAAGTGATCACACAATCAAACAGAGGACAGGGCACGGGCTCATGGGAAAGCCTGCAAGAGACAACAGACTCATCATGGAGAGGAGGGGGACACAAGAGGAGAGCACAACAACCCACTGGAAGCCTTTGAATGTGTTGTTTGGCTTTGGGTTTCACCGTCGCTACCAACTACATGCCGACTAACTTTTGAGGACTTTCTTAGAAATACCACACCGTATGATCGATCACGGAAAATGTCCTGTATGCAGCCTACGTTGGTGCACATCGAACCCAATTTTACTTGCTTGACACTTGACGCGCGAAATCTCAAGAACTTTGCACATTTTGCAAAGCCGAATTCAATAAGTTCTCGGTCTTTGGTGTATCACCTCCGAGCTAAAAACCCTACTCAAGTTCCCTCAACTGGGCCTGCAATTCAACACTGCTGCCTGGAGTGTGGTACTCGTGGGCAGAAGAAGAAAAATATGATTAATCACAATTAATTATTGAAAATCGTGCGATTAATTGTTTCAAAGAATATTGAATGACTTGACAGCAAACTACCAAACTTATGAGATCACCACCTAGAACAATAATCTTGCCAAAAAAAGTGCATTCCAAAATGAAGCTACAGCTGTTGCTTCCCGTAGGCTTAAAAAGCAGGATTACATTAAAACTGAAATACACGACTTCCGGCTCCGTTCTTTCAAATTGACATTGTCACAAATTAATAGTCATGCCACCATCTAGTGGTTGAAAGTGCAATTACCCAATACGCAGGAGATTTAAGCAAAGCGGTCCCTGCAGCTTTAATTTTTTTCTTTGTGCTGTTCTCGATGTTAAACAAAAAAAAAAAAAAGTTTGGACACCCCTGTCTCAAATGATGGACATTTAGACAGTCCCTCACACTTCCACACACACGCTCATGGATGCATACATGACAATCCCGGCAGATCGCTGATCAGAGCTAGCCAGAATGAACAAGCACATCACCGCAAGCCAGTCTGGGGGATTCCTGCGAGGCGGATGTACTGTCGGCTACTCCGCCTGTCTGACTGACTGACGTCCTCTCTGATTTTCCGCATCGACAACAAGTTGGCGTCAGTGTGTTCGCTGTGTTCTGTCTTGTGGTGGACAAGCAAGAGTAGTCGCTGGTGAGTGATGGCTGAACAAGCTTTCATCTCCTTCTGCTGGTTGAGGGAAGCGCTATCGCTATCCATGGCGTGAGAATGAGAATACACAAATATGAAGACGGACACAAAATCAACGTTATGTATCACATGTATCGTACACAATAACACTCACAAGAACCTGTTACAAACAAGCGGGCTATGGTTCGGATCTCGATGCTCCTCGGTGTCAATGAAAGGTTCAATCTGGGAAACGCTGATGGAAAAAGAGCGAGCGGGAGGAAATACAGTAATCCAGGTGGAGAAAACAAGAGAGGTGTGATGGACAGAAAGATAGTAGGGGGAAGGGCACACGACAGTGTGAGCGACAAAGGAAAATGGACAGGGGGGGGGAAAAAAACGATGAGAGCAAAGAATAGAAGAGTGGGTGAGACGGACAGAGATATGTGGACACCCGGCTGATGATAGATACTGTTCTCATGTGGGTGGGGATCCTTTTATAGCGCTGCCAACGAAAGCAGACAACGGGGCAAAAACCCCAGGGGGCTGAGTGCGGTTTATATGACCCTCTGTGTGTGTGAGGGTGGGCGTGTGCGCACGCCGACAGTGGCAGTTCTGTTGTTGGCCTATAACAATCCTGGCAGACTGCCCGCGCAGACAGCCATCAGTGACGTGAGGGTTCATCGATGGCTGATACCCAAGAGATATTGGCGAGAGAACCAAAATGTTCTCGCCAGAATTCAGTCGAAAACTAAGTTCAGTTCTTGTTGGTTTGACCCGAACAATTTTCACTGACATTAACGTCCAACTGCAACACATTTCTCAATCATGGCAGAAAGGCAGCGCTGAAAGTAGCCCACTTTTTAAGACACTGGAGACAAACCTAAACAAAAAATATTTGTTGTCTAAACATGCACCTGGCAGTGATTATATAAATAAATACATATACAGGGAAGTATTTTCTACTATTATCTAGTATTCTAGTGTGTGTGTGTGTATGTATATGTAAAATTTCTGTTGTGTTCATATGAGACAACATGGCATTTTTGATTGGCTGATGCATCCGTGACGTTGGAATGCCATTTACATGTCCGTCTTTACATGTCAAAAAAACGTGTCTTTCCGCTTTCCTGAGTGACAGCATAATCACAAAAACTCTAATCAAACCACTCATCGCCGAAAAACAAAGCTTCTCCAATAGTATGTCGCTAATTTCCACACAGTGTGTTATTTTACACATCTCAGTAAAGCTACAAAACTAGGACAGCTATTGTACAGAATCGCAGGCTGTTAGCGGTCCTATTATACGGCCAAACGCCTACAACAGCAGGGAAAAAAACAAGGGAAAGTGGCAATTTAAATCCGCGCGCTGACATTCCTGTCCAAACACAAAAACTTTGCGTGCACATACAAACAAAGAAAAGTTGCCTTGTCGGTAAAAAGAAGTGAAGGGGATTGACAAAAAAACAAAAAGGTGAGGGATGGGAAAAAAAAAAAAAACAATATCTCAATCAAACAATCTTTGGCTCTCTGTGAAGAGCTGCCAGCCGGGAAAGAAAAGAACGGCGCTTGTGCGTCACGCGGGTTCAAATCCGCCTCACAGGTGACAGGCCTGCCTGATGCTATACCCTTGGCTCCCTGCTCGCCTCACCTATAATAACATACACGGCAAAATAATGCCGACAACGAGCGCTAGTTAAAGTACAAAACAGACGAAAAAAGGCAGCGGAGGCGAGGAGAAAGTGGGGCGTTAAGCAAAACAAAAGCAAAATCGGCAATTGGGTGAAAGTAAATTGTGGCAAGCACGTAAGCAATTTGGTAGCGTTGAGAGGGGAAGCTTGAAGGGAACACAGACAACAAGAAAGGCGCTGGGTAAAGACCCAGCGGTGCTCAAAGGCTGCTCCACCCTCGCTCCTCTCCGCTCCCCTCCCAAATGTTGACAGTACAAGTGCAAAACAGGCTTTGAAGTGCGCTCGGCTGAAGGGACGCCGCCGCGCACCGTGTTGCCGCGCTTGGCGGCGTTACCCGCAAAGCGCACCGCAACCTGCCGCTCTGCCTCACCCGCTGTCTCCCAGATCGAACCTTTGACAGTGTTTTGATGATGCCGGTGTGGGCGGAAAAAGCAAAAGTGCGGGTGGGTGGCGGTGAGAGAAAGAAAACGCAGCAATAAAAAAACTCAAATATATCAATTAAGTGGTGTTGGGAACCACCCATGTTGAAATGAATTCTTTCCACCCCCCCTCACTAGTGAGATTTCTTTTCTTTTTTTTTCAAGGTCCTCTTCCCTTGTATTTTATGACACCCTCAAGCATTAAATTCTAGCCTGGCACCGGACAAAAGTTTTTTTTTTTTAATTGTGGCCTTTGCGATTAGAAAATTGCATTCTTCTAGATTGCGATGTCGATTTGAACTCTATTATCAATCTAAGGTGAGCAACAGGGTTTGACATGGCTCCGAGCAGACGCAAGTGGGAAGATTGTCGCACTTCCCCCTCAACAGAGAAATGACCTGTCAAGGTGACACAAGCTGGGGAGAAAACAAGCAAGAAAAGTTTTGAGTCTTGCCCCCCCCCTCCCCCCACTGTGGCAAACACCGAATGGAGACGAATTGGCCCCGAGTTTGGAGTTGTCAAATAAGGACAACGCAAAGGTGAACGACACCCCTAGTGGATGTGGGCAATCGCATCTGGCAACACATCATTCTTTAAGTATCCTGCCTTTGACCCGTTTATTCACGCAGAGGGTTTAATCCCGTCCATAAATGCTGTCTAAAAATATTAACCTAACTCCCTGCTGTTCATTAGGCGCTAAATTGGAACCGGCGCTTATTTTTGTACTGGGGCCTGATCGGGCGCCTTTACACCAATCATAAATGGCCACTTGGCATGCTAATTGCGTTGGCCCCACTTAGACACTCCCCAGCTCACACGGCTAATGGTGTTGTAAAACATAATATTGCACTGACACTTCCCAAACGGCAGGTAGAGAAGACGTCGCCCCGCATAAACGTACTCCGGTTTGGTCACGATTGAGAGGACATGAACTCTCTGATCATGTCTGTAAAGATGGCATCCGCTCATCCTGTATTGAAATCAATTGACCTTTCTCGGCTTCGACCGGGCGGCTCTATAATGTATGCACAGTGACATAAGCCGGTCCCTTTAAACGCTACCCACAGAGAAACTTTAGGAAAAGGTGGTTAAAAACGTCAGCCCGTCTGTTGCGCCCTCGACGCGCCACCGGAGAGCTCCACTTATACGAGTATTTGACAGAGTTATTAGGTGGCTTGTGTCAGTCATTTGTGAAGCCTGCCGAAAAGGCCGACGATTACATTTGGAGGCTGAAGAAACGGTACGATGCATATGCTGGAGCCAAACAAGTCAAACAAATTACACTTGATCATAATTTTGAGACAATGACATGACAATGAATACCGCCTATGAGCTTGAGTTTGCAATCAAATAGAGCGCTGGTGTCAAACTCAAGGCCCGGGGGCCAGATCTGGCCCGCCACATCATTTTATGTGGCCCGCGAGAACAAATCAAACATGTCAACTTCTAGCATGATTGCTAAAATCTGGACCAAAATTTCAACTTCTCATATGTAATAAATATGAGAGATATTGTCAGCATTTTCTTGTTACCAAACTCCTCATTATAGTAACTTAAACTATCATTGAATCAACCATTATTCTTGACATATTTAAATGCTTTCACGGTCATAACGGCCCTCCAGGGAAAACGGTCACATCAATGTGGCCCGCGGCAAAAATGAGTTTGACACCCCTGAAATTGAGCATTGTTTCCGCTCCAAAGAAAAAAAGTACCACCAATCCTGACCAACATGCACCACACTTTGAGAATCATTGAAATTGAGTAACGATAGACACTTGGTCAAAAACAACCACAGTGGATCTCTTCTGGATTTTTTTCAAAGGCACGGCTTGTCATAATATATAGCGGCTGTCCTATTTTGATGATCGTAAAAGACTAATTTTTAGCACGTTTCAATATCAAAATGTTTCCCAGAGGGATACAATAACCAAACCTAATTCGACTTGATTTGATGATCCATTGCACTGCATCTCGACATAATCCAAAGAAAGAAACTCAAACACTGTGACAGTAGCACTGAAATGATCACAGCTGAGACGACATGTGCATCACACCAGACCAGAATGTCCCCAACCCCCAAGGCCCCCCCATCTAGCGGGCCCTCATTAGGGTCCTTGTAAAGGCCTTGTACCTGCTGGGCTTGTGCCCCTTTACATCCCTTCTCCCTTTAGGCTCCAGGTGTGTCAGGTGGTTGCACTTCGCCGGAGGGGACAGCTTGGGCTAATTTAATGTGACGGCTACCTGCCTGGCGCAAATAACTGCAACAGCTCCCCCTTACAAAAAAAAAAAAATGTACACGCAGCACTGTAAAGTTGCACCAGGGTCGAATTGGGGAAAGCAGAGGGGGGGTCTCGCGGAGGCGTGCAGAAGAGCGAGGAATATGACCTTGTAAAGATGAAAGACAGCGAGTGATCAAAGAGGAAGTTTGGCCCGCTGATGTGCCAGGGGAGTGGTCATATCAGGCTCGAGGTCGCAAAAATGTGCGTGGTGAACGGGGCGCAGCGGGGCGCAGCGGCTACGACGTATTCCGTTGGTGCCGGATAACATGAGCTGTTTTTACAAGCCGCTGCTTAATTGCACTTTCAACTGCATGTTCTTATGGCCAGCGCACTGTCCCGAAAAACACATTTGTAGTTTTTAGTGACAAGGAAATCTGATCTCCAATTTTATGGTGGAGGCAAAACCACATGGAGATGTTGCTTCACACTTCAGAGGCCAAATGGCTTCAAATAAATTTGTATAAAGATGTCCACAGTGCAAAACAAAAGAATGAAAAAAAATGCAAACAACTATTCAAAAGAGAATTTTAAAAAAAAAACAGCAATGCATAACTGCTCGGGTTGATTATGAAGGTAACTATGGGAGGTTTACCCACCACTTGGACATCGGAGGGCACTCTGGACAAAAAATCAAAGATCTCGTTGTTATCGATGGCGTAAGGGTCTCGCAGCTTCTTGGTGAATTTATTCACTCCTGGATCGGCATGTGGAAAAAAGACGAGAGTGAGAAGGGAGGAAATACAAGTGGTCATTTGCACATTTTACACACCATGTAGGCCACAACATTAGGTACCAATGTACCACTGAAGAGATGTATCAAGATGTCCGCCTTGACAAAAACTCGATTGCTTTGCAAATAATACATGTCCTTTATAAAATAACAAGAACAACAAAAATCCACTCATGACAAAGAAATAGATTTTAAACAATTTTTGCTTCAATTCAATGGACATTGTGCTGTTCTCTCCAGCGTACATGCATGGGAAAAATATGGACAGCATAAGATACAATTGAGCCAGTCTCAGGGTGTCCCAAAAAATATGACATAATTTCTCAGGCTGACAAATGTTGGCAAATTTTGTCAAAAAAAAACCCGTAAATTTTTACAGAATGTATTGAAACAGTTTCATGCTTTACGTATTTCACGTTTTATCTGAACTGGTCTATATCCTCCTCGCTCCCCGACAGTGGACAATGTTACCAGAGACTTCTAACATCCGTGGCCAAGCGACGGCTCACGTCCCCCCCCAAAAAAAAAGTGGGGTCACCGAAGGTCGCTCAAGGCACGGCCGTCATGTTAAATGCACATTAATGTCACAAGAGGGCTACTTGTGAATATAGCTTACCCCAGGCTAGCACAATGTATCGTAGCGGGATGACGTAAACAATAACGGTGGCCATTCCAAGAGCGACGATGGCCAGCCAGCTTAGGAAAGGCACAGTCCAATTAAAAGTGCTGGAAAGAGAGGAAAAGGGTCGTGAGAAAATATTGACAGGGGGCGCCGTCGGGGTGTTCAAGCAGTATATGATTCAGGAGGATGGAGGAGCATCTGTTTTGTCATGCTGGCAGCGTTTCTGGCGACAAAGTTTTAATCAGGCTGGCAAGGCAAAGTGGGGCAACCTGGCAGTGCAGAAAAACACCGGGACGTGTGGAGCGGAGCACAAAGCGCAGCGGGCCGGGCGCCGAGGAGCAGGCTTACGACTTACTTCTTTATCCTCTCGCCATAGGAGGCCACTTCATCCAGCGCATTCTGCACACTGATACACACGTCCTGAATGGCATAAAGCTTGTTCATGAAGCCCTTCCTCTCAGAGTCCTGCAAAAGCGCAGATAGGGTTGTGGGCAAGGGGAGGAAGACGCAGGCGGGGTGCGACGGGAAGAGATGTAAGGGAGCAGGGAGCAAGGAGAAATGCAAAGGAGAGAGGCTGGGCAAAGGCAATCTTCCGTGGGAACAATACATGTTAAATAGCGTCAAAGGCTTGCACCGGGGGAGCCAAATCGCCGGATATCCTGTTCCAATTGACTGTGTTCATTCCAGGCGGTAATAGAGATATAAAGTCGGCAGAACAAATCAAAACGCTTTCCTCCGTACAAAAGCTCACACGGACAATTTGAATATGTTAACGGGGCGGCGGAATTCAACAGAAAGCCAAATGGAAACATCAATCTTTGAGGTCCTCTCTCGTTTTTTTTTTTGTTTTTTTTTTCCCCTCCTCCAGCTCTCGCTCGCTCGGTGCTGCCAAGATCAGGCTGCGCCCGATTGTTCAACTGCCTGGCAAGCTGTGATGATGTCATCAGCCGTGACATCATTATCATTGACGCCATCGAGAGGGGCAGGGTCGGGGCCGGTCTGCTTTTGACAGCCAAACAACTTCAGAATCTTACTGGAAGAAGTGAGTGAGTCATGTGACAGTTGATAAGTCACCTTACTAATAGAAACGGGGGCAACGCGGCCACAATCAGGTGACAGGGGGCGCTTGACACGTGTTAGCGGGTTTGGTTTGCATGCGTCGGAATCTAACGAGGGGAATAACAAGAGGTGGGCTGCAACAATCCGAAAGACGAGGTATGATCCTAAATGGGAGTCCTCCTTAACTTGAAAAGAAAAAAAAGGCCACTTTTTTTTCCCTCTCAAAGGAAGACGGTTTCATTGGTCATCTTTCTGAACCGTTTCCTGAAAATTGTGAAACATATTTTCTTCATAAAAAATGTTTGGCTACTGAGTGTCATTGACTGTTTCATTACACTGGTAATCAATACATTTTTAACAGAGATGGCTTGTGTGTCCCTAATTGTATTTTTGATGATGATTTTCAAAAATGGGTTTACTTTTTTTTCGGAGCGCATCAGGTTTTTGAGATATTTCCATTTTTTGTTTTGACGTTTGACCTCCAAAAACTTTAATAGCAGTAATAATGATAATAATCCAAATAATGCAGGAAAAAAACATTTCACCTGCTACTGGACCTTAATTGATAAAAATTATGAAATTTAAATGACATTAGTGTTATTAGTATTATTATGAGAACCTGTTGTGCTAGAGATTTTAAAAAAAGGGCAGATTTGGAATGAGCGCAAAGAAATTAATCTAAAAAAAGTTTACTTGCATCTCGGATGGAAAAAAAAATGTTGACCAGTGAAGTTCTTTGAAAAACGATGATAAACATTCAGTATTCGTCTTTCATTCGGAAACGGGGGAAGAAAGTGCCGCTCAAAAAAAACGCAAAAAAACAACAAAAAAATATTTTCAGAGTATTTTTTTTAATTGAAAAAAAAAAAAGAAAAAAGAAAATGCGAATCCACACGTGACAAATCGTAAGGATGCAGCGGTCGACCGTGCTGTTGTCATGACAAGTGACGGACTCCGGAAAAGGTCCTTCCGCTCTCCATCCCTAATCTGATAATCTTCAAAATGAACCGTGGGACAGTCGGCGAGTCCGCACCGCTTCCGCCGCAAACCACCCAAGACAAACAGATATGACTGGCCACAAAGCAACGGGTTTATTTGCTTTTGCAAAGACTTTGACGAGTCTCCCATTATTTCTTCCTCCTCTGGTGAATCAGTTCCTCTGATTCCATCTGCTTTTCATTGCTGGCTCAAACAAATCTCAGAGCATCCAGTCGGTCGCCGTCCATCCCGGGCGGGCCGGGCCGGATCAGGACGTTTTTACCTCGGAGGGACACGCGGGGAGAGGTGTGAGAGAACGGGCGGGGTGGAAAGAATAGGTCAGAGGTCACCCAAGTATAAACCACTGCCACATGCCCCTCGGACTGCCGTCTGACTCCTATTTCCTGTCTTCAAACGAGACTCGCTGAGGCGGGAGGTAGTAATAACACAGAGAGCCATGGAGATCCTTGTTTTCCCAGCTTCCCCACTCACGGCGCACATATGGAGACAGGCAACCTGCCCCTATAATGGAACCCAATACACGCACGCACTCGCGCGCCCCACAGCTATTAGCTAAGCTTGATTTGCACACCTGGTCTTGCTGAGTAACTCTATAAACATGATTACGTACAGCCCGACGCAAAGACAATAATAGTCCCCCGCTTAACTCGGTAAGTTTGCGTGTGGACTGCGATGCCCTTTCTCACCGGAATTGATGCATGGCCCCGGTTGAGGCCCACGTTCGTAGATATTGACAAATAGTTAATGAGGCTGACTCAAAAACACATTCGGAAGACCAAAAAAAAACAAGGCCTGTCAGTCCATCTGTCTTATACCATTCCTGCGAGGACAATTGCCTGCTTTATTTTTATTTATTTTTTTCCCGGAGACAAAAGCTCATAAAATCAACTCCGCCTGGCTCCGATTAGGCTAAAGGTGCGGTCCCCCGCTCGACGGATGTGACAAATCCCAGCACCCGAGCTCAGAGCGCGCAGCTTGAATCATTCCGGCAGATCGTGTAATAAGCCCGCCTAACGAGTGAGGCATCGTGCATTTTAATGGACTGCGAGCGCAGGTTCATGTGCAACGTGTTTGTGGTGATATGTTATAGTAAGTACCGGTTCAGTCGGGGAGCTCCGGATTTGTGACTGCTGTCAAATAAAAGAACATTCAATCTCAGGTAATTTGTCCACTGAAAGTGAGATGTGCTCAAGTATGATATGTCTTCTTTAATGTCAGGCTAGCACCAGGCAGTATATAACGGTACAGTAGAGCACAAGTGTACATCATAAAAAGCAACGTTAAGCCATTTTTTGGACATTTAGAATTGATAGAAATGTCAATCCGGAATGATGTTAATAGACAACAGACCATTGCCTATATTAGAGTACTACTATCAGGGGGTCGAAATAAGTTCACCGGCAAACAGAAATACAGACTACGTCAAGACATCAAGACTCCGCTTCGGCTATGAATCCAAAACAGAACCAATACAGCAAAAAACAAAATGCTCTCAGGTTAATTTTCACGGTATTAACCCTTTCGGGGACAGCGGTTACGACAGTGGACAGCTTCTCATGTTTTCCGGTTATAGGTTGAAGCAACTGTTCCTTGCAAGCATATTTCAAGATTCGGACACGGGTAAGAAGGAGAACAGAGTCTCAACCAACTGTCAGTCAATCTACAAAGACAGCGGCATTTCCCATTCTGTAATTCTTTCATGTATGCATTCAACTCAGTTGAGTACAATACGGTAACGTAACTTCTACAACTTCAAATCCTATAATACAAGCGGTGTACCAATAGCCTGAGTACAGTAGAAATTGCGATTGCTTGATATGACACTCGGCCTTCCTGTGTGGAGGTCGCATGTTCTCCCCAGGCTGGTGTGGGTTTTCTCCGGGTACTCCGGTTTCCTCCCACATTCCAAAAACATGCATGGCAGGTTAATGGAACACTCGGAATTGTCACAAGGTGTGAGCGCAAATGGTTCTTCGCCTCTGTGCGCCCTGCGATTGGCTTGCAACCAGTTCAGGGTGTACACCAAGTACTGCCCGAAGACAGCTGGGATAGGCTCCAACACACCCGTGACCCTCGTGTGGATAAGTGGATCAGAAAATGGATGGATGATTTGGCACTGTCAAAAAGTTTGCATTCAACACTGAATATTTGTTGGTATGCAGTTGATACCGTCTTTCATATTTTGACAACTTTCTCCTTCCCACTTCTTAGACAGGCACATGATGTTCTTGGATTAATATATAATATAACGTTGTGGACATTATGCGTGTATCAAAGGTTGCTGGAAAAGCGCATTCGCAAAGTCCACTAAGACAAACTGACATGCTCTCCTTTGGGCATCACAAACTCCTTGACATCACTTAACTCTCATCGGGCATGCAAGAGAAATATCCAGTGATCTTTTCGCTGCGAGATTTGTGTCCAAGGTTTGCATCATACGTTTGAAAGCGTGACAGGAATTCGAAGCCATTACGTCAACGCCGAGCCGCTGCGTTTCGAAGTGCACGGAGCAGGTTCACCGCGGGAGTGCTCTCATCAGCGGGGACAGGGGAGGCATGCGCTTGTTAAAGTGATGCGGATGCACAAAGGCGGCGCGCCGAAACAGCAAAGTCAGGCGAACCACGTTGCACTCGGCGGCGACTTGTGGTAAACTCATTCAAACGCTTGATTAAATATTTACCAGCGGGAATACGCGTCGTGCGGCTCTCTTCCATCGTCACGCGGGGAGAGAAAAAGTGCGCAAAGACATTTTGTCCTTCCCTGACCTAAAGCCTCGAGCCAAACACGAGCGGACACCGAGGACAAAGTCAATTATACGACGGACTCAAATATCTGTCCTATATCTACGGCTGGAAGCACAGAGCCATTTTGAGGGCGGCTTCAACCTAAAATCCCATTGTTGTCTCTTTTGCCTCGCGTCATAAATATGACAAAGCTATGAGATCTAATGTAACGGCATAAATCCCGTTGACGCCGCATGATTAGTCTGAACCAAACGTGACCGCCGTGCTAAAATTGCACCTGTTTCTCATTGTTGCTCTTTCCACTGCGTACTGTAAAAATCGAAATGTCAAATGAGACGTGACAGAATGCTAATGCGTGGCTCCCACAGGGCAACTCAAGGCATCCTTGTTGATTTTGCAGGGAAAGCGGATGATGATTTCTAGCGCGGGGAAAAAAATAAGACTTTTTTGTTTTTTGTGTGCGTTTGTTATCTGAGTGATGCTGAGAAATGCACGATTTCCAAATCGAGTTTATGAATAATACTGGGAATTTTGCATATATCTCCAGAATGGGGTTAACAACTTTTCAATCATGATGTTTTCATTATTTTGAGGAAGTTGTCACTGTGACATATATCAGATCTTTTTTTTTTTAATAAAGGACTTTAGTCAATTATTCAGCAGCGAGCCAAACGTTACATCTGTTTGCCTTTTTCGACAGGAATTCCATAAATACGATATCTGATACTTACTGATAAAGAAATTTCTTCACAAGAAAATTTTGTAAGTAGAGACGTGTTTTCCATGTAAATGCCCTAATCCGTTCCAACCCCCCCAAAACTCAGACATAAATGGTTTCTAAAGCATAAAAATGTATCAAAATATATAACACGATTATTGCACAATAAATGAGGGTTGTGAATCGTGTAAAAAAACAAAGAATAGAGTATTGAATAAAAATGATGGTCATTTAACTTTTAACTGTCCTCATCGTTTTGTACCCTCTTTAGTTCATGTTCTCTCTCAGAAGTGGGTTTTGCCTGGCGTTTTGTCAAGAGCTGATCCAAGGACGTTTGCTTGCACACAAGTGAGTAACCTGGCCGCATAAAGATATGATGCCTGTCCCACTCCCGCAGTCACAAATGGAAGCTGTTAAAAAAAGATGTTTGGGAACTTGTACATGCGCAAAGGTTTATTCCAAAAGAGTCAAAGTCAAATTAGTTAGGACAGCCTGCAGGGGGTGGACCAGGCAGACACAAGGTTCTACACAAGTAATTAGTCTCGTCACCTCCTTGCCGCCCACATTATGGACACGTTCAAGTCAGGAGACAAGTGAGAGCCAGAAAGAAGTGGAAACCTGATGGCAACCCTCCTTGCCTCACCTCTGCCCCCTCTGCCAGGGCTTCATTGCAACATGTAGAATTATTCAAACAAAAATGTTTTTGTTGTTTTTTTTTTTTGCTGAAGTGTTACATTGTGTACCGTTGCTAAAAAAGTAAATAATAATGCCCCATGACCCCTGTGCTTCAAACACGATAGCACGTTTTTTTTCCATGTTTGTTTTCATTATTTTTAAGCGTAACCACTCTGAACGTGCTGTGTGCACTTTGACAGATAGAAAATATTTATCCATCTTAGATCCAAAACGTGCTTGCTTCAAGCTGTTTAAAAATCTCAACAGCTGTGATTATCATATTTTGTGAAATAGATGAAATGCCGTGTCCGTTTTTTTACTTCATTTTTATCCCGAACCAACTAATATTTTCCATTGCCTAATATTATTGAATTTACTTCATAAAAATTGGAACACATTTGAAAATCCCTGTTTTTATACAAGTATAGTGTCTAAATTTGAATGTGCTGTCATAAAAGAAATGTTGTTGAAATTATGACCAGAACAAAATGTATTCTGTTAGCTAGCAAAGCCACAAGCGAGTTGTTGCTTTCATTACCTTCAGTTAAAAATAATAATAAGAAGAAATTAACACGCTTCCTCATTGTAAGTCTCATGGCTGATTTTAGTTTTTTTCTAAATCAACAACAACAAAAAAGGCTAACATTGGCTTTTTTTGAATTTCGTAAGGGTAAAAAAAAATTGACTTTAAAGTGCTGTGGTGTGAAGTGAGGGGATCACGTCTTCAAAAAAAATAAATAAATAAAATATGCATCCTCTGTGCTCATTACAGATTTATGGCTCTTGTTAAAAGAAAAGGTGGCGGCTGCCTGCTAACACGTCTGACTTTCAAATCCAGACGACACTCCTGTCAAGTGGTGTGCTCCACATTCTGCCCAATCAGAGACGACTGAGAATGAACGCGTGCCAGCGTCAACCTGCTCTTCGGTGACGGCGCTCTGCAGAAGTTACTTTGGGTGCGTGAGAGCACACAGGAACTCCTCACCTACAGTGCGGCGAAGGCTTTTCTGGCGCTTTGATGCATAGTTCATCAGTGGAAAAAAAGTGCAGTTGGTTCAGTCGCTCTTGTATGTAATTGAGAACAATAACAGCTGTGGAGTTGCATTGCAACGGAAGACATAACGAGCATTGGTATATATTTTTTTTTCCCTGCAATGTGGAATGTTTTAGTTTCTCAGGCCACTTTTTCAGAAAAATCGCTCGCGAGCATGCTGAAATCACCCAAATGCCTCGGCACCTGTCTACATATGCTTCGGGTACGAAGGGAGTCTAAGCTCCTGGAAGTTCAGCTTGTGGCTTCTTAATTAACTTTTGGCCACCTGTTCTCATTTGTCACACTTTTTTTTTTCAAAGAATGACACAGCATAAATTTAACTTTAACCAGCAAGTTGTACTTTTAGCATGATTAGAAAATAAGTAACATTTGTGCGACCATGGTACTTTGTTGTAAATGATACTGGAGTGGAGATCATGTCAGATTACGGTTGACTCGACTGGCGTGAATCTATAAGTGGTGCATCGTGTCCTCTTCAAAGGCAGAAATTACAGATGTTAGTTTGAGTTACTCCCCCGGTCACCCTTAAATACCTCACAGCATACACTCCCACTGGCAGAGTATAGTTAACACACTGTCACACTTCAATCAATCTACAGCTGTCGCCTTGCAGTTCTACAGGGAAGTAATATAAAAAGACAGGAGCAGACTGCCATGCGAGAGGTCCCATTAGTGCCCTCCATCAGCCTCAGGACAAGCGGAGATTGGAGCCCCCAAGTTGGGACTGGGTTAAGTGCAGAACGTGCAAGAGGATGGGTGGTCTGGGCAACCATGAGGCTGAAAAGGGGACAGGTACATAGAACCCGTTGAGACAGAAAGACAGGCGTAAAAGGAAGCGACCCAAGAAGACAGTGACAGACACCATCGGGAGTCAGTAGCAGACACTGGAGGAACCACACGCATGCCCACTTACCACCATTGCTAGCATCCACTCAAAGCGCCAGGAAGCCAACATATCCTCAAGGATATGGTTTTTATCACGGCTGTCGTCCGCGGCCTCTGGTTTAGTTTCCTTGTGGATAGATTACAGTCAGATTTGTCTTGATTTTTCAAGGAAATTAGGGTGTCAAAGCTACAGCTCTAGGATTGGAAATAAAGAGTCTTGTAATACTGAAGAGTAAGACTTTTTTCTCTGGTTTACCATAGAAATGGTTATAACAATACAGGTCCACAATGATGCTTTTCATAGCTGGTTTATTTCCTTGAGACTACGGCTTAGCAAATATTCTACATGGGTCATCCCACTATAAAGTGCCTTTGTACCCTAATAAGACGACCTCCAGAAAATGTAGCAGAATCGTAAAAAGAATCGTAAAAAGGTGGCTAAACATGTCCACACATACCATGATATGATCAGTCACTTCAAAAGTGATTTGACAAAACAAGTCATTTTGAACACGTGTACTCTATTTTCATAATCAAATTGAACATATCGCATTTCATGTGAACCTGAAATTACCGTCCACCCTGTCATACCCTGAAAACTTCTCAATAACATGACAACGAGCACTTTCTCTTCATTGGAGGCTAAAACGGTGGACAGTTGCATAATAAAGACGTGCACTTTTGTTTTGTCATGTTTGGAGATGGATGATGCCTGGCTTGACAAGTCCACTCTGTCATCGTGAAATATGAATGGGTATAAAAGCATGACAGAAATTTGAAATACATTTGCTAAACAGTACACATTCAACTTGCTCACTGAATCACGTTGCTGAGTGAAGGCCAACCACGTGCTAATTAAATACGAGCATTAGTTTGAGAGAAAAAAAAAATGTCAACACTGTCATTGTCCACCCTGTCAAGAAGCTCGCATATTTTGCTCTTTGTACTGGATGTACATTGTCTGCTTGCAGTTAATTAATACGTCTTAAAAAAACGTGTGAGCTTGATCGATACGCATTTCTAATAGCATATCTACTTTGGAAAATATTGTTCAGTGAAAAATGTCAACTTTTTATGGGTAAAATGGGAAGCCTCAAAGGAACCTCAGAGTGACGCAGACTCACTTGTACTTCATTACATGCAGAGGGGCAAATAAAATGTGCATCTTAATTTTCCAAGTCCACAAACTCAAATGGATTGTTAAGAGTATGAAAATGAGACCAAAGAAAAAGCCGTGACTATGTCTGGAGGGAATCGTGACCGTTTGAGAGATGATCCACCTCATGAATGTGTGCGGCAAAGCGGAGAAGCAAACAAACAAACAATGCCGTACGGTTTGCATAGAAAGACAATGCTCCTTCACACCTTTCACCCTCCTCCCCGCTTCCACTCCTTCTACCTCCATTACCCAAACATGATTAAAATGCAGTTCCAACCGGCATCTCTGTAGAACGTCAAAGGAAAAAAAAAAACTGAGATGGGATGGGAAAAACGAAGCGGAAAAGTCAATAGCATCTTTTACAGTGGAAGGCTTTTCATCCTTCAGAGGCGGCGAGAAGAAAAGAATGCAGACTCCCATTATGCCGGCAGAGACCCCCTTGATACTCGAGGACAACCCTGCTGCACTGCAAGCTCAATAGCCTCCCAAGAAGATTTCCGTCACACGTTTCTTTTATTTTATATTTTATTTTTTCACAGAAGGGTGATAAAAAAAAAATAAAAAAAGGAGAATCCCAGTGCTCTCTTTAGTGCAATTACATTGTGCCATGTTGCTATCTGAACGATTGCACAGTGCCGTGACTGAGGGAGGGGTGGCGGGTCCGGGGAAGGTGCTGCTTCAGATGAGAACCCGGCTTCACCCTAACACGCTTGGTTAACAGCATAAATCATATAATCTTCATTTATCTTGAGATGGGTCAACGAGCCGAAGCTGTTTTACAATCATAGGACAGACTTATGCCATGCTAATATGCTATTTTACATAAATAGCAGCTATTTTCTTTTAACTATACTGTACCACGCTGGAAAAAATAAAGGGAGACTTTTCAATCTTAAAACATAAATGTATTCTTTGTATGTGTTTGTTAAGCGCATCTATGTAATATTAGGATGAGACGATCTGAGGTTGAGATAAAAGGCGCAGATACGGACATTCATTTTTAGCGTTTGAGTCACTGTGGTAATCATTTTTTGTGTGTGGACTGAAGACTGCGCTGAATAAAAGTTCAGAATTCAGTTTGTTATTTCACAATTTGAGCACGTCTCTTCCATTTCATTGATATTCTCTGAGAAAAGCACCGGTGCATTTACCACGATGACGCGAGCGAGTTATTGTTAGATAACCCCCGTTTCACTCATGCAAAGAGTGGATAGCTTAAAGCAAAAGTTGTTCTCTCCTGGGTTGTTTAACACATGTCTGGGCAAAAAAAAAAGAAAAAAAAAGGTGCACTTCTGAACATTTGCCTCATCTTCCTCTTTTCATGTGAAACCCAAATGTCTTCAGTATACAACAAAAAAAAAAGGAATCGACCTTGCCGTTCCAATATTTTTGGAGGAGACTGCATAAAATGTTTACTCCCAAGTATTACATGTGCGTGCATTTATAAAATAGTGCCAGGATGTTGTATTGGATGAAGACGTGAGGATTACAACGATCAAGATTGATAAACATCAGTCCTGGACACGAGGGTGCGAATGAGACATCCGGACGTATCGTGTGTGTGTATGCGTGTGCGTGCGCGGGTATGTGCATGTGATACGGCAAGATAGACATGGAGAAAAAGACAGCGAGAGCAGTGAGCAGTAAGCCCGTGAGCGGGACATGATTGCAGTGTGTATCTTATCTGTGTCAAGTCCTCCTGAGGCTAGGGGAGCCTAGCTGAGCACAGCGCAGGCCCTTCAGTGACCAGTCAACCGTGTGAGGTAGTCTCTTCTCTCTCTCTCTCTCTCTCTCTCTCTCTCTCTCTCTCTCTCTCTCTCTCTCTCTCTCTCTCTCTCTCTCTCTCTCTCTCTCTCTCTCTCTCTCTCTCTCTCTCTCTCTCTCTCTCTCTCTCTCTCTCTCTCTCTCTCTCTCTCTCTCTCTCTCTCTCTCTCTCTCTCTCTCTCTCTCTCTCTCTCGCTCTCTCTCTCTCACCCACCCCCTCCTCTCCCCCCCCAAAAACAACCTCTCCTCATCTGGGAGACAACTGTTTCACGACACACATAGCTCTTGAGCACATGAACACAAATTGGCCAGCCCATGCTGAACCTGCAGGTGACAAGAGGCCTTTGGTAGGAATGTGGCTGCACTCTGCACACGGTTGTTTTGGTTTTACATTCTCTATGGGGACTTAGACCGAGGGAGAAGAATTTGACTCCCCAAAGGAAGCAGTAACGGATAACGATTGCCCTTTGTGCCTTCCGCTATTGACAAACAAGGATAACATTGGGTGTCATGTCATGGTGCCATTGTTTCCATTATTCATGGTGACAGTGTTAGGAGATATGGATCTTTTTCCACACCATTGTGTATGATGCATTGTACTCCTCTGTCTGTAAAATGAGCAACTCCTTAGGGAGAATGTAAATATAGATTCAATGACAAACCTAGCCCAAAAAAAAAAGTGTATCATATATTAAATATATTTTACAGGTACGAACCAACTCGAAAAGATCCAAGTCAAATTTGAATCAATGGAATAAAAACTACATACATCAGGGAGAAGCTTATACTGTATTCTATTGGTTTAGTGGATATAAAAAGTCGACACATCCCTGTTGAAATGACAGATTTTTGTGATATGAGTGACACCAAATAATCTCAAGACTTCTTACGCCACTTAATGTAACCTATAAATTGTGGATCCGAAATAATGTGCTTGCACATGTGGTTGTGCACCTTCTTGGAAATGGGATGAGTTGTGTTCCTAGTTGCCTAATCACATTCAGATTGAGTTTGGATGGAATTCAGCATATACCTGCCACATACACCGAGTATCACTAATTAACCCCAAATAAACTTCAGCAGTTCAAGCAGAAGCCGAAGGGTATTGTGCTAATGCTGCATGTGCTATTCTGAAGATCTCATCTTTTTCTCCACCTTGTCTACCACCCCAGTTCCAACTGAAGAAAACAACCCTAAAGCATGATGCTGCCACCATCATACATCACCGCTGGCACGGTGTTGTTTTGGTAATAAGCGAAGTTGTGTTGATACCTTTCGACAAAATGGCCAAAAAGTTTGATGTTGGCTTCATCGGACCATAACAAAATGTCTCAAACATGGGGAAAATGTGATTGTTTCATTCTGAATACACTCACATCCTAGTTATAAGTGGGTGTGCACACTTATGCAACCACATTTTACTCCCCTTCTTGAAAAAAAAAATTGACATAATACCAGTTGCATAATATCAATAAGAATGTATCTCTGTCTCATATTTACAAAAACATGCCATTTGAACAGGGGTGTGTAGACTTTTTATATCCGGTGTACTAGTTAGCCTGTTTTGACTGTAGCAAGTGAGTGTCCTCCATAAAATGATGGTGTCTCATCAATATGAAGTGGCTATTATCAGTTCTCGCTGTAATCTCTTCAGTCAAAACTCATATGGTGATTCAAGGCCAAAAAAAAAAAGCCTACAAGGGGTCTTCAGCACAATGAAAAACAGGTGCTCCAGTTTTTGGCCATGTAATACCCCATTTAGCCTTTGGAGCAAAGGTTATCCAGCTAATAGCTGCCTTGTGGCGCACATGGCTGGCGCAAACATCTGGGATGAATTGTGCATACTTGCAACATGTGCTTCAAGTTCAATTAAAATGCGACTTTGGCACATTTATCAATCTTTTTTCACGCTCTTCCTTTCACTCACCCTCATCTCTGGGCACATAAAACGGGGCCTCGTTGACATGTTTTTCACAGCCCGTCAGTCTGAAGCTGTACTCAAAGCGCAATGGGGGTTGGGGGGGTGGTCTGTTATCGAAGGTTAAAAAAAAGAGAGAGAGAGAGAGAGAGAGAGAGAGAGAGAGAGAGAGAGAGAGAGAGAGAGACTATTTGTCAGGATGAAGGCAAAAACACATGCGGCAGGCATCAATAGATGGACGGCAAGAGCGGGGCGGTGAGGTGGAGGCGAAGAAAGAGGGAAACACATTCCTTTAAACTTCCCGACAGCTCAAATGAAATGCTAACAGTTGAAGGGAGCAGTAGATCAAAATGTATGAAGCCACAGTTGGTAAATTGTCGCTTTTTGTGGCCCCTGTGTTATCCGGCCATGCCAGCCCCCTCGCGAGCACGGCGCACGCACAGAATTTGGAATAATCGCTTTGCCGTCAAAACGGGGAGGGAGGCCGAACAAGCCGCTGGCCGGACCTCATTTCAATAAGAAAGCGTCCAATGTATTTCAGGGAGTCTAATCTGCGTTTTTTGAAATGCTATATCTTTATCTATATATATTTTTTTTTTCCCTGAAAGGGAGAGGAAATGTAGCGATGGTACGTAGACAGGAAGAAAACTCTGTGAAGGAAGAAAGGATAGAAGGTTGCTTGGCGCATTTCTTCAATCAGCGCGCCCCACCTTTTCAGCCTTGGAACTTCACAACCATGGCGGGGATGTCATGCTCGCGTATCCTCGTCAGCCAACTGGCACGCTGGCTTGACTGATTGCCTGACTTATTGCCAGGATGACGATTTGACCATCTGCCCACCGCGTGTGTGTGCTTCTTTTTTTTTTTTTTAAAGCCTTTTGCTGGCAACTTGACCTCAAAGAAGGAGAGTTATGTGGATGGATGTGAGGATTTTTTTTAAAGTAAATTCAGCATACAGAATATTCTCAAGGCAAAATAACCACGACTAAATCTCCCGAGTCTGCCCCCAGCCCCACAACCCCCTTCCAATAGATTATCAAATTCATCCATCTATCCATTTTCCGATCCGCTATCTCCTCACAAGGGTCGCGGGGGGGTGTGCTGGAGCCTATCCCAGCCAGGCGGGGGACACCCTGCACTGCTTGCCAGCCAATCGCAGGGCACGCAGAGACAAACAACCATCCGCGCTCACACTCACAACTGAGGACAATTTAGAGTGTTCAATCAGCCTGTCAGGCATGTTTTTGGAATGTGGGAGGAAACCGGAGCACCCGGAGAAACCCCACGCAGGCCCGGGGAGAAAATGCAAACACCCCACAGGAAGGCCGGAGCCAGGCTCAAACCCACGACCTCTGCACTGTGAGGTCGACGCGCTAACCACTGGACCACCGGAGTGCGCCATTCAGGCATCGACCAATTTCCCTTCACAGGTTTCGGTCACTCTTGAAAAGCTCGCATGATAAATCCATCAGCATTCCACTTCCCTATTTAGTCGATTCTGATCACCCCGTGGTATCAGTTTGAAACGTATCTCCAGTACGACACGATGGGAGAAAGCGCAGCTGCTCCACCATTTCAATTTCCAATTACCAACTACTGTCATCTACCTCGTGGCATTTGTTTCGGTAGCCGTTCCTACAGTGTAAACGAGCAGAGGCAGTAAAGCAGCCACCTGTTGTTACCTGATCGTGTCTGGACAAGCCCAGATGCTGTTTTATTGCGACATAAAGGGGCCAGTCAATGGACCTAAATAGCCAACTAAGCACTTTATATGGGTGCATGTTCTCAGGAAGCAGAGCTGAAGCGTGACGGGAGTCATGTAATTCCGCCAACACGTGAAAAGGCGGGGGCGGGGGGCACGAGCGACAGTGGACCAAATTTGACTGGAACAGAAAACACCACAAGTTGAGAAATGTACTGTCAAAAAAAAAGGGTTAAAAGGCCTTTGCATATGTGTTTGTGCCCCGAGCAGAGGAGGAGAAAGTAAAACATTTCTTCCATCTTTCGGGGGTTCCCTGACTACGAGGCAACCTGAAGCTACCCCTCAGGCGGCTTGTGCGTGTTTGTTTGGTGCGTGCATGTGTTGCTGTGCATTCCCCGATGCGGCATAATTACCCTGTCATCTTTGTCAAAATCCTCATCCTCGTCCTCCATCAGATCCTCCATTGCTTGCTAGTAGAAAGAAAAAAAAAGTAAATACAATCAGAGGTATAAATCATTTATGTTGCAGCAAAGGTAATAAACAGTACAGCAGTTTTAGGGAGTCAAATTCATGTTGAGCTGCAACGCTTTTGTCTGGTGACCGTCTTTTAATGAATGTCAGGAGTGAGTGGATGTGTGTGTGTGTGTGTGTGTGTGTGTGTGTGTGTGTGTGTGTGCGTGTGTATGTGTGTGTGTGTGTGTGCGTGCGTCAAGCTTCAAAATGAGTTCCAGTTCATATTTAATTTGAGAAACATTCTATTGCTCAAATATGTTGACGCGTGTGTAAAGGCTCCGGTATAGAATTTCAACGTGCAGAGGATTAACGTGGTTTCATCCCTTCAAATCGCATTGCACAAAAGCATTCACAACCGTTCCCGCAGAGCTTTCTTTCGGTCTTCTGACATCAATGGCCGCGGATGATTTCAATGATCGACATAGGGGCATAAATATTGGGACACTTTGAGGGTTGCCTTTGGATGATTCGATTTGGTGCAATGCGGTGTGACCGTGATTCGATATTTCAGTTGGAGAGGATATGATGCAGTGGGTTTCTTGTTGTCATTTTACAATATCAATTGAATCAAAACCAATTTCTGATTTTTTAAAAAATTCAAACCATTTTTTTTATTCCCCTATGTATTAATCAACATTATTTAATCCTATTTTGTCAGCATCAAGCTATTTCAGTGACCAGTGTACCCCTTTCTTCCTTGAACTGAAGGTTACCAACAATTTATCATCGATGTCAGGCGGATGCCTACTATGTCCAAATTTGGTCCGTTTCACACTTTTTGCACACATTGGAACTGTTGTTCAGGCTCGAATCAAGTTGACTATTTTTACAACCCAAAAAAAAACATTTGACCTCAGTGCAATGTGAACGGCTCAACAAAAATGCCGTGTTTCGGTTTTCCTGAAAAGTGATGGTTGCGCGTGCATGTTCTTCAGTCACCCAACGAAACTGCAATTGTCCCTCTGAAGTCCCGAGACATGAAATGAGAAAGACACAAAAGGAACACAACAAAAACAAGTGGTTGTAAAAAACAAAAAACAAACGGGTTATGAACAGAATCAGAATAGGACACCTTCATTTCACCACTTTTAACGTTGGGTTATTGTGTATCTTGTTATGTTTTGTTTCGGGTCACAAAAATCACACTTAAGTTACCGGCTAATTTTTTAAAAACTTAAACCAAAAAATTTATAATAAATGCATGACACCGTATTGAAAATGAAGGAATGTACGATAACATCTCGATTCTCCAAGCTAGCATAGCAAGCACAAAACTTGCGCTGTGTATGTAATCCTTGCGATGATAAGCAAACCAACAACGACACGAAATGTATTCCAAATAATCTCCATGCATCGATCGCCGCTCGTTTTGCTCTCCACCCCTGCTGTCAATCATTCATCAATCACACATCTCAAATCCAAGCTTGTGCAATTGCCCTCAATTTAGTAAACAAACAAGCGCATGAGCTGCCACCCCCTCTAACCTCATTGTTGTGCCGCATTCAGTGCTGGAAAAGCCGTCAAACCTTTTTGACTGGCCTCATCGCCCCCACATCCCGCTCAACAGCGCGCACACCAGCTTGGAGACATCCACAAAAAAAAAAAAAAAAAATCATGACTTAAAGGGACAATAGCTTTTGTCCTTTTTTGTTTTTCAGTGAAGTAAGTGAGCAAACTATGTGGCAGCTGACATAAGCCTCTTATGTAAATGCCGCTTCCCACACAAACAAAGAGGAGTTCAGAACAGCAAGCGGGTTGAGTCAATAGTGCGCCGTGTACTTGCGTATGCGTGTGTACGTGCTCTATCAATAACTCCCAGTCAGCGGGGCAAGTGTGTGTGTGTGTGTGTGTGTGTGTGTGTGTGTGTGTGTGTATGAATGGCACTCCTTATTGAAACTGTATTGCGGCGGGTAATTCCCACTTCACAGAGATGCCGTCACCGCCCCGACAAATGAGCTTGACTGCTCGCATCCGCGTGGAATAAATTCACGGCTATGTTATATAAGTAGCAGAGGGGGGAAAGTCTTGTTCTCAGCCACGGCAAAAAAAAAAACAAAAATTGTCGAAGAGTTATTGTAATATGAAAGCCTTCTGGCTCCTCAAACAAATGAGCTATAACTGTTTATAAAGTCATCACGGTTCCACCCAAATCCTTTCATCCGTGCCAAAATACAAACATAATGGATTCCTCCACACAGAGGCTTTGGAGGGGCACGCCTGGCACACACTCCAAACTTTAAACAAAGGGAATGAGCGTGAGCGAGCTGGAGAAGCATGACCTAGAGAGACAAGAGAGAGAACGATAGAGTCGTTTGTCTCCTCCCGCGCTCCGCTCTGCTCTGCTCCTTCCATCGCCTCTGGTTACACGGAGACGTCGTGCTCCGCTCTGCTCCGCTCGCTCCTTCCATCGCCTCTGGTTACACGGAGACGTCATGTTTCCCGCGACGAGACGGTGTAAAATTAATAAATAAAAAGGTACGGAACATGTCATCTGCCCTGAAGATTGCCACGGCTAAACGCGCATGCTGAAGGTACTGTCTCACTAAGGGTGGGATATAAATTACCTCTGAATTCCAAACGTCTTTCTCTCTATTTGCCTCACTCCTTCTCTCTTCTCAGACCTGTGTGCTCAATGATATGATTTGGCTGCTTACTCCCCCCTCACCCCCGACCACCCCCCCATTATCATGCTGTTTGAATTACTGTCATTACAGCGGTGGCGGCCTCAAAGCCAAAGCCGTCGACTGGATCGCGGTGAGCTCACATTGCCCGCAGAGCCGCTTCGGTGAATTCAATATAGACAAGAGGTGGAGATTAACATATTCAAAACCGATTGAAATAATACAGGGATGACGCGGGGTGCTCTCACAGATTACACCGTGCCCCGTAAATTCATAAACATGGTGATAATACAGCGCATACACAAAGCCAAATGACATTGAGAGTTTTAAAAAGGCCGCAGAAGTCTGTATAAAACATTGAGTTACAAAAAAACAAAACAAAACCTTTCTTGAATGATTGGATCGGTTCCCTGAAAGTCATTTACTAAATTGCTCAAGTAACATAAATTTAGACCCCAAAGTTACCAATCCAGTCATTTATTTCCAATAGCGCTGGAACTCGGTAAGTTCACAGGTGAGTTTGAGACTTTCCCATTTGACCCGGACAATCAACTAGGGGAAAACGAGTCTTTGAGTCAAGCTAGCTGTCGCAATGATATACATGACGGTAAAACGCCACCAAGGTGCTGCAGGCCAACTTCAAACTAAAATCTTCCAAAAAGTGCCTTTGTTTGCTTTTATTTTGAAGTTGTTCGTGGCCGCGCTTGGATCGTTGGAGCCCAGTATAAAGTTTAAATTGCCATCACATACGCAATGTCATCCTGAAATCATGTTCATGCTAATTAAGGACGCTAAAAAAATAATAGTTACGATGAAACTGTAGAATGTGTCGCCCATTTCAAAGCTTTAGCTCTAGTGGCTGGCAGCTAGCCGATAGCTGAAATTGTAGAATATGTCACCCGTTCCCAGCTTTAGCGCTAGTGGCTGGCAGCTAGCCGATACGCAAGTGCCTCAGACAAGCTGGCAGGAGCCATTGAATTTCTTTTCAAAGGCAATTTAATAAGCAAAAATGACAATTTGATGCTGACATTGGCACAAATTGTATGCTACGCTAAACCAATGTTCATCAATGGGGCTACCGTCCTTATTGGTGTTCCCGTACAGTATAAACAAGGTCCATAAATGCACTGGTGTGGGACATGTTGACCAAACATCATGCAAAACTCATTTAACTCAATTATATAAAAAGATGAACTACTACTAACAGCAAAAATAGTAAAACATTCAAGGGGCCTGTCCGCATTGGAGTGGATAAAAATGTTTCTCGCTTTACATTCACGGCTTTTCACGAGACAGAAGCGCCAGTCGTGTCACTTTGTGATCGAAATTCAACTGGCTTTCACTTCATTTCAACGTCCTTCTTTGAACTGAAACATAGTTAATAAACTCATTGCATGATAAATAATAGACATGATTTGAAAAATGAAAAGAAAATAAGAAATACACATTGTAAACTTGAATAACTTGAATAACACTGGCCAATGGATTTCCTCTCTTGCTTGGGAAAAAAAAAACACTCTTAAGTCTGAGCAGGCAGAGTTCTACTATCTGCCAGCCTAACCTTGCCAATGACAGCCGCGGGGGGAATTGATGCCTGGGCAGACATTCCAGTGAACATGAAGATATACTTTCTCCTTTTTTTTTCTCCGATGCCTCCATCCCTCCCTCCATCTCTCCTCTGCTCTCTCTTTGATACGGTGGGAGGGGGTGGAGGAGGGGGTTTAACCTCTGCAGCTGCCGAGGTTGCTGCGACTTGCTTGCTGGGGGATCTCAAGGCCCTACTTGGGATGCACTGCTCATGAGTGTATGGGCATGCGTGTGTGTCTGTGTGTGCGTAATGCCGACGCCACACTTTCTGCCGATTGAGGGAGGGCTGTGAGTGTGATAAGGGGCTGCTGGCTGGGCTTGGCTGACCCATGCGGGCCCTTCACAAGCTGTCAGAGGCACGGCCCTCAGAGGGGGGGCCCCCCCGCTTCCATCTGCACTGCCCCAGCCAGGGTTACCCAGCAGGGAGCTAGATTGGGGTGAGGCCCTTGTACCACTGGGACTGGAAGATGGGGGGGGTGAAGGATGGGTCCGTATTAATGAAGAGCCGCCTTTATTATTCCAATGAAGAAACGCAATGTAAGCCATCTTTCCTCATTGCTTATTTGCTGACATATTTGCTTATCATTGCTGACAGCGTAATGAGTATTATAGAACCTCATTGCCTATTGTCAGAACAGTTCATGTTGGTGAGATGTCGCCCCTCCCACGAATGAGAAACAGTCACGTTTACCTCAAAATATTTTGGGGAGTCAACCACATCTTTGGGCTATCGAGTACAGTTTAGAATC